TTCAAATACACTGCCTAATTTACATATGCCACTAAGTTAAACATTCTCTACGAAGAAAAATAGAAAATAAATAAAACAAAAAATGCAGGACAACATCTAGGCATTTAACCTTCACACTGCCCACACCATAGCACCTAATCTTGACAGTGCCAAAATCACACTGCCAAAAACACAATGTCTTTCAAGAGACCTAATTTTTCAAAAGGGACAAATACTAGGTATTTCAAAATTGATTTCACAACACCTAATCTTTAGTACGAAGAAAACACAATAATTAAAACTAAAAATACATGGAAATCCGAATAAAGGGGTGAAGGATAGAAAATATGAAAATTAAAAATTGAAGGAGAAGAGAAAATGATTAGCCACATCGGTGAAGAAATCCGAGATAACCTGATGATTGCCGCTGCTGATCGGGGCAGGAATAGTGGGAGAAGGCCTGAGAATGCATGATCAGGGGGGATGAAGAACAGAGTAGGTGCGTCGATGAAGAGTACGTGCGCGAGAGGGAGTGGCGTAATTTTTTAAGGAAAAAGGTTAAAAGGGTATGATAGTAAAGGATTGACACAAAAAAGTGCTAGATTTGTTTAAAAGAATAAGTAGTGCTAGATGCGTAATTTAGGGTGAGTTAGAGTGTTATGGAGGGTGATTTCTTTCCTCAAAACTCTTTCCCATTTCTATTAAAAAACCACTTTTACCACTTATTTTTTCATACCCTACCCATCACATCATACTTTTTTTCTAATAATCTATACATCACATCCTACTTTTACTCATCACATCAAGAGTATTTTTAGAAAATCAACATAAAATTACCCTCTTATTTTACAGCTTTAATCAATATATCCCTATCTTTATGCGACTGAGGGAGTATTGTTTAGACGGAGGAGGTAATATTGTAAGAAAATGTCCATATATATCAGAGCACAATGATGTTAAAATCCAAAAATAGGATCGGAGTGACATTATTTGCATCTCATGATTGTCCCGAATCAATATAATTGTCCCAATTTACCTTTACAGAATTTATATATAACAAAGGGGAATTTACTTAAGTGAAATTTGCATTAAATAGGACTAAAACATAATGACTTTCCTAATCTAGGACTTAAACTTTTTTATTCTCTAAATAGGACTTAATAATGTGTTCGTGGAAGGAATAATGCCTAGCAACGATAAACATTACTTGAATAATGACTAAAGAATAA